GTTTTGCTTTGTTTCACAGAACTAATCGTTGCCTGGGTTGCATACGAATGTGTGGGGCAGAGCTATCAAAATAGGGGCGAGACCCTTTTGGGGTAGGGGCGTGTTTGTTTTGGTGATTTGAAATATCAACATTGGCTACCAGAAATCACTTACCCCACCTTTAATGTGACACTTTAGAAAGTTAATAAAGTGGAAGTAGCAGTTTAGGGTTAGTGATAACTTTATCTTATTTCCAAAACAAAAGATTTAAACTTATTTCGGTTTATTTTATTTTTTGGGGGGCTTGTTTTCGTTTGTTACCATAACAATGCCTGGCAACACTGCATCGCCGGCACTTAAACAGACAATAATCAAAAAAAGAAAAAGAAGAGAAAAAAAGCCCATTCAGTACATGAACACAACACATTCAGTAAGACACATAATGACATAATGGTATCAATGATATCAAAAACAGTAGCATAATAACACTAGTACAGAGATCTGTAGAACAAGTAGGTTCCAAAATGAAATGTGCCAAATATGCAGACACTGGCCATGAGGAAGAATGCTGTTTCATTCAGTTTTAGTAGTTAATCTTTCACAAAGTCATGCTAAAACATTCATAAGAGCACTAGAGAAAGTTCTTATCATATAGCAATTCTTACTAATGAAAAGCATAACAGTAATAAGTATTATTGCATTAATAATAAACTAATACAATTATCCACCCTAACTTATAGTAAAGTATTAACAAATTTTGATGCAATAAATAAGGTCTAAATTAACAATGTCCATCCCCAAAACAGAGAAATCATCTTTCACAAACATCTATGTCTCTCTCTTTTAAAGTTTATACTATATGTAGTGTATATAATGTGTTGCATTTGTAGGTGTTATTATAGCACGATACTTAACACCCCACCCAGACCTCACTAATTTTCAAACCCTGGTTACGGTCATGCTTGTAGCACACAGACTACATCAAATATGGTGACAAACATCAACTAAAGTGCAAAGTCAAATTTCATGTGACCAAACATTATGATGTTTAGGTTTTTTTCACCATGTTTGATGTAGTTTGTGTGTACAACAATATTTTATTTTATACTCAATAGGCCCAGGTACTTGGGCCTAAATTCAGTCCTTTATATTTCATATCTGCAATATGTTTCTATTCTTATTTTGGAGCTTTACGTGACTGGGAATCAGAGTGAAATGTCTGAAGCAGTTGGTTTAATCTGTCCACCCTCCGCATTTGTCATGCTGCATTCCTGTTCTCCAGTAAGAGGCTATGCAATCTAATGATTTTCTCCCACATCATTAAACTCCTGACTGAGCTGTAAACTCTTCATTAATATAGAGTATCAGACACTCTTGACCCACCCCCCCATTCCATAAACCCAGGCTGTTTCTGACAATTTTGGTCTTTGCCTCTGGTTCCAGTTTACTCTCTATAGAGACTCTATGTTGACCATTTCAACTACTAGCTTAAATGAAATGAATGATATTTGTAATAGTTTTATTACAAGTATTATATATTTATTTTTCATTTATACATTTCATTTAAGTGAGTGGTTATTTAAACACTCACATTAAGTCTATATTAAATTGTTTATTAAATTAAATTGTGTAAATTGATACATTATCAAAGGAATTTTTTTTTGTCATACAAATTTGAATTTGGTCAACCATGTCCTATAATAAAGTAAACAAAATAAAGATTTTAATGATGACATTCTCAGTATATTTTAAATGTTTTAAAGGGGTTATATGATGCGATTTCATGTTTTCCTTTGTCTTTGGAGTGTTAAAAGCTGTTCCGTGCATACAGAAGATCCGTAAAGTCGCAAAGATTAGAAGTAAACCCCCCAAAGCAAACACTGCAAGACAACATATGGTTAGATAACTAGCTGCATTTTCCAGCTTTCCAGCTCCACTGGGAAATGCATGAGAGCTTTAAAATGAGCATGGAAGGTGAATGATAGCATGTTCAGTGTCTATAATATTTGAAGGAACGGTCATTGTGCTGACCTGTTGTACTGTAGTTGTCAGTTCCAGACACAACTGAATGATTTTGTTCTTGGTGGTGGTGAAATCACTGATCTCCGTCAATGGAGTTCTGCAGACAGAGGGAACAAAGGTTAAAAGACATTACAGCATTCACACTGTATAAAAGATCAAATTAATACAAGGACAGGACAACAAACTCCTTGTGAAGGGTTTTCTGATGTGGCCTACAATAGCAAGAACTTTATTTCCATCACTGCGTGTCTGGAGTTTGAGTCTGTGGTCATAAAAACTGCAGCTGGAATTAAACACGTTACCATGTCAACTCCCTATGAAACCATTAAGCACAGTCAGTTTCCATTTCTTTTTTTCCCAGACAGATCAGAACAATCACACCATGTAACTTGAGAAGATATCGCTGAATTTTTATGTGGTTAAGGCATAATAATAAGCGTAATAAAAGCACCAGTAGCTTAGACTTTAAAGGAGTGTTCTGAGTTCAAAGCCGACATCATTTGTCATAATATCCACATAAAATTGTGGTTACAGTAAGGCACTTGAAAATCACAGTAAACAGGGCCTTGAACTTCAAGGGTTTAAAAGCAGAAATATGAAGCTTGTATATATTTGTTAAAACACATTTCGTTCAATGTTTTTC